CTTTCACCTTGTTAATATCCAACTGACATTTGCATATTGCTGGCTGCGTAAAAAAGGGATTCGGGTAGTTATTTTGTATTGATTTAATGTTCTGTTATGATTAACCACAACTGGCTACAAGCACATCAAGGAAAAATGACCTTCACATTTTCATGAAGACCTCAGTTCTGTCACTTATTAGCTGTGTGTTTTTGGACAACTTACTTAACTCTGGTTACCTGAGCCTCAGTTTCCTTCTTTTAAATAGAGTTGATAATAATACCATGTTTTGCAATTCACACACACACACACACACACACACACACATACACACACAACGTGGTACATGTTAGCTAGTGATTAGACATGGTCTTGATGTTCACCTTGCTCTGGGATCATCAGGGTTATGCTTTTAGCCTAACCAAAGAATAAACCCAGGGCCAAAATATGTAGGTCCAAACAGTTAAGTGCCCTAACAAAAGGGGAATTTCTATCTAAATAGATATTGTTCATGCCTTCCATTTATGCCTCCATGTCCCTACCCAATGTCCAATTCCACTTTTTGGATTTGTTACCTTGTGCTATGTGCATTGCCTTCTTCCTCAAGAAGCCCTTAAAAATATAAATGGTCCAGGAAAGGATAATTAAGTCTGTTATCACCTTGTGAGAATGAGTTTGTGTGTTTTTACTCCTAGACAAGATATCCCACATACTAATCCTTGGTACCTGGGAAAGGATAAAATGACTCTGAAAGAGGGGCAAAAGGGCACAGGATATACTTTACAATTTTGCTTGAATAACCTTCACCAGTTAATCATTATGTACTAAAAACCTTCTGTAAGGAAAATCAGGAAAATGTTATTCATAGCTGCCTCTAAGGAAGGGAGGAGGGTAAGTCAGGTACAAGAGCAGGGAAACTTACTTGCACTGCCTATCTATCCTCTAGTACCTTTTGAATTTGGTGCTGCAGAAATGTATAACCCATCCAAAAATTTTAATTTTTTTAAACCCAATCCTTTTACATTCTGTCACTTGTCTTACTTTAGCTCTTAAGTATTTGTTTACAGGATGTTGGCATTTATAAGTTGACTTTTTTCTTCTAAAATCAAGCTGAATTCATTTAAAATACGACTGGTTCTCTTTTTTTAAAATTATGTTATGTTAGTCACCATACAGTACATCATTATGACTGGTTCTCAAAGCTAATTTGTCTGTCTTCATGAAGACAGAGTTATGAGACAATTAACATTATTTGCTGACTCTCTACACGCAGTTTTCTTCACTAAAACTTAAGCTTCCTGCAGACAGCACCTGCAATTTACTAATCTCGGGAGGCTCCATTGTGGTTTTCACAGAAGGGTTACTTTCTTGAGTTCAGTTCTCAGTCCTCTCTTCCAAGGAAGAAAAGTCATTGAATATCACATGATGTTTTCATAAAATAATTTTCCAGAATTATAAAAACAAGCAAAATAACAAGAGACAGAGACAGGTACAAGGAGAGGAAGAGAAAAACAAAACAATTATAAATCACCTGCACTTGTAACAAAACTTTTGGGACTCTATTGAGAATGCCTGCAAAACACCAAATATGTCCTAAGCAGGGAAACCTAAGGTTTGATCTAAAGTCATGGACACACATGTCCAACAAAACATTTGCTGCATGAGTCTTGTGTGCAGGGTCCTGGGAATAAAACGTTAAGGAATGCAGATGTGATCCTTGTCCCAAGAGTTCTCATAATAATGGGGAGATACAGAAAGCTAAAACAGGTCGTTATCATACGGTATGAAAGATACCATAGAAGGAAGTGCAGAGAGTTACAGTGCTCATAAAAGGAGGACCAACCCTATGCTTGGTTGTTTAGTATCGCAGTGGTTGGGATGAGAGCTTTAGAGTGCTACAAATTCGAGTTCAAGTCCTAGTTTCAGTGGTTCCACTTTATAACCTTGGCCAAGGTATTTAATCTCTCTAAGCTTCAGTTCCATCAACTTTAAAGTAAGAATAATGATAGTACTGAGCTCAAAGGGTTGATGTGGGCATTCAGTGAAATCCATGTCATAAATCTGACACTGTGTTTTGCAAATGGCAAGCACCCAATAGAGATTAGCTGATAATATTAATGATAACAGCAAACTGAGAAATGATGCATGAGTAGAACAGCTAGGTAAAATGGAGAAGAGAGAAAAGAGGAAGAATGTCCTAGACAAAGGAGAAATGTATGCTTAGAAAAGAATAGCGTGGTGAGATTTAGTGAAAGAACCTGGCTTGAGCCAAGAGGTTGGAAGGCACCTGGGGTAGCATCAGAGTTGGAACTGAAGCTGGAAAGGCAAACAGAGTACAACTCAATGGGTTTATCAATCTTAATGCAGGGTTCTTCAAGAAGATTCATCAGAGCAGGGACAGGATCAGATCTGAGTTTTAGAAAGACCAGCTTAGATACTTGGACTCTACAGCATGGAGAATGGAATGGAGAGTAAGGAGACAGACGGCAAGGAGATCAGCGGCAATAATCTTAAAATAATGCCTTGACTGTTGTGGAATTTCAGTCAGGGAGGCAGGTATCACATGAAAAGTATATACAACAGTCCAAAGAGAACCTTGAAGTAATTATTATGAGCTTGTTAATATTAGCTAGTTAGCATTTCATTCATTCATTTATTCACTCAACAACTAAGGCAGTGAACTGGTGAGAGATTTCAAAGAGTGTTAGTCTTCCAGAAGACTGCATAGCCCTGCCTTCCAGAAGTACCCCATCCAACACAACTGCCCGTGCTCTCTCTGGATACAAGATCAGTTACTCTGCTGATTCAGATCATATGCAACAGTAAAGGCATTTTTGGGAGACAATATGCTCCTGTAGGAAACTCAAGCTGGGAGGAAGTGCTACATAGCAGATTAGGATGGATCCTAAGGTGTGAATATGACTCCCCTTCACCGTGGGAAGGGGAAATGTCACTGTAACTACTTCAGTATATAGCAGACTTCTCACTGCTCGAAAAAAAGAAAATCTCCAATGACCCACTGTTAAGTAAGTAATAACAACCACCATTCATGAAATGCCCTACCCTATAAACTTCAGATGGATTAACAAATTTAGTACAACAAATTTATGAGATAAGTATTAGGTCTACTTTTCAGGTGAGAAAGTTGAGGCAAGAGACACTCCCCGAGGTCACAGAATTAGCTGCAGTCTGGTGTTCCTATCTACCACACTGTGAGGTCTCTGGCAGAGAGCCAATAGATTGATAGAAGAGTGAAGCCAGCTTAAAATGTATGCCTCAAAATCTGACAGGGGAGAAGGATCACTGCCCACTTACAATCAGGAAGCCAAAATTTGGAAGTTTTTATCATAGGAATAAAATGAAATGGATGATTAAACGTGCAACAGCCTCTTGACAGGAAATTGGACTACCCTCATCAAAGGAGTACCATTTTGAAAGCACTTCTGAAATGTCTTTTACTCTTTTAAACACAAACCACAGTTGTGCCATATGGCCTAGGACACACCAGAAGTATTCACGCAGGGTTATATGCTTATCAGTTTAAAATAGAGTGGGCCATCTCAATGACTCAAAGGTGTGGCAAAGGAAATAAAAGGTAAAGAAAATGAGACCGGTTACTCTTTTTGTTTTCTGCTAAGGTAGGGTGAACAACGGCTGAATTGTCTCAGTAAGAAATAAATGCAATATGCTTATTCTCTCAGCCCATGTATGGTTCTATCAACTAAGTAGTGAAGCATGTGTAGAGTAAGCATATTTTAACTATGAGCTCTGTGAGGCATTTCTTTTTTTTTTTTTTTTTTAAGATTTTATGTATTTATTTGAAGGAGAGAAATCACAAGTAGACAGAGAGGCAAGCAGAGAGAGAGGAGGAAGCAGGCTCCCTGCCAAGCAGAGAGCCCGATGCGGGGCTCGATCCCAGGACCCTGGGATCATGACCTGAGCCAAAGGCAGAGGCTTTAACCCACTGAGCCACCCAGGTGCCCCACTGTGAGGCATTTCTAATGTCCATTGAATAAAGATGAAATAGGGAAGGGGGAATCCCTAACCGTCCACATACGAAAGAAACCACCAGCTTCTTGTAATGCCACTCGATGCCAACAGAAACAGTCTTGAGGCTGGGCTTTCAGCCTGGTGATAAGGGGAACCCATGCCAGATGGCATTTTAAAATCCATTTTCACTCTCTTTCTCCCCACTAACCTGCCTTGGGTTTAAAGCCATCACAGCCATTTTCACAAGCTGCACTATTTGAAAGTAGCCACTTTCCCTTGCGAACACACAAAGCTCTAATTGCTGTAAGTTGAAAAACATCGTAAAAATCATGGAATTTCTGAAACAACCATTTTTAATTAAACGCACAGACACACACCCCCAACACCCTACACCGAGGAGAGCTTTCCACACCTCGCCTATTCAAGAACACGTATTCTCAGCTCACCAACAAACCACTCCCCTGACACTCGTCGCTTTCTGCCCGACTCACTCGCCACCACTAAAAAGTAACTCGGGACGCCCTAGGTCTGTGCCACCAACACCGGGTTGATTCCTCAGGCCCGCGCGGCTCCGAGCCCTAGGCAGGACTTGGGGGCTTCAGTGTCACAAACCAGCGCTGCCTCCCAAGACTCCTCGCCCAGCCAGGAGCAGCAACCCTCCCTGGGAAACGCTCAGAGTTGCACTGTCTCTACCACATAAAAAATGCCAGTGAGGTGGATTCCCCACCCCACCCACCTGCCGGAGTCCGCACCACCACACTCAGTCGGGGCGTCTTGGAGGCACCCCAGCTGTGCCGACAGCCAGGAGGCGTGAACAATGAACTTACACACACACACACACACACACACACACACACACACACACACACACACACCCCACCACCACCACCACCCCCTCCCCCAAAAGGAGAAGTTTTGAACTAGCCAGGGGGCAATTTCGCGATTCCGCCGGCAACTCCCGCGCGGCCGGCGGGGGAGGGCCCGGTGCGCGTTCCCGGCCGCGCCCCTCGCGTCGCAGGGCGGACAGTTACCTCCTTCCGCCGGCTGGGCGCCCCGGGTCGAGTGATGAGGGCCGTCTCCTCGCACACCACGGCCACGTCTTCCACGAACACGCAGTCGGGGAGGCTCTCGTCGGCCGGCAGCTGCACCACCTGCAGACCCAGCTTGCTGCCCAGCACGCCCACGTAGAGCTGATGCTGCCGCTCGGCACGGGCGAAATCCACCTCGTCGCCCTTGGTGCGCCTCAGCGCGTGCTGGCACAGGGACTCCGGCAGCGCCCGCACCACGGCGTGGGTGGCCCGGCCGAAGGCGGTGGGGTGGCCGAGCGCTGCCATGGCTCCGGGAGGCGGCGGGGCGGCGGCGGCCGGGTCCTCCCTCGGGCAGCGCGCGCCGAGCCTGCGAGCGCCTGGCTGCTCCCCTTGGCAGCGGATGAATGTGGTGCAGGAGGAGCCCGGCTCGCTCCCCAAGCCCTGCCCGAGCGACTGAGCATGCCCAGAGCTCCCGGCGCTGGCCCGCGCGCCCACCCCGGCGCTTTCGGGTTTGCTGCAGCCGAGGCGGGAGTTGCAGCCCCGATCACCGCACGAGGACTGGGCAGAGGAAGCGGTGAGCGCCGGAGCTGTGCGCAGTGGGAACCTCGGTGGACCCGGGCTCGAGATTACCTGTATTCCGCCGCAGGTGTACAACTCACATAGACCCCAAGGCGCACGTGAAGTTGTCATGGTTTGAGCAGAGTGCCTGGAGGACTTCGTGGTGGTCAAGAGGCCAAGGGATGGGGTGGTTCCTTTGTGGATAAATACTTTGACCTCTCTCCCTACTCTCTTGGTCCCAGGTTGCCCTACACCTGGTACCACCCCCAGTTCCTAGCGTGAGGATCCGTTTTCCTACCCAGATCTGCGAATGACCTTTCACCGCCAGTGAGCCAAGAGATTATAAGAATGTGTTTCTTCCCATCTGTGAGAAAGAGGAAGAGTCCAAAAACACATGTTGAGAGAAGAACAGAGGTATACAAACACAGTATTTCAAGGACAATCAGTTGTCATGGACAATGGGATTCTGGTGTGTTTGTCTCCAGGGCCCACAGATGTAGGGAGGCAAAGACCAAGCGTGTTTTCCCCACTATAGACAAGCGCTCCCGTCGCGCAGTGTCAGACAAACATAGCATCACAACATCTCATCACAGAAGGTTTCCAACCTTCTCCCTGGCATTCCCTTCATGCCAGTACAGACTCCGTGCAATTCCCGTGGTATTTGTTGAGTGTTTCTTTTTCCATACACCTCAGGGAGTGCCTTTCCCTTCGTAATGGCACTATTTTTCTCCCCTTACCTATCACAGATTAAATAGTCCTTGGGTTCTGTTTCTTTTGAGAAGACCCACTTCAAAAACCAAACCATAACTCCAAAATGGTCTCAGGTAATAAGCTTTTCTCAGATTCTGTAGCACATTTCTAAGTTAAAGATTGATTAGATCATGAAACATTAGATTTGGATGAGACCTTAGAAATCGTCTAACTTCCCACCCAAAGGTCCTGAACTCCAGCTAAAACATACATGACAGTAATAAGATCTTCACTTGAGCATTTTAAACCTCTCCAACTTAAAAAGCATATTCTACTTTTGAAGAGCTATAATGGTTAAAATCTTCATTTTGGACTTAAAACCCACTGGTCCAAATTCTGTCTTCTAGCATTACCTAACAAGCTCATATTCTCTTTCACGAGATTGCATTCATGTTATCTGAAGACAGTTCTGATATCTATGTTGCCTGACACCACCCTCCCACCCCCCATCTTGGCCTTGACCCTGAACCACCAAAAAGTAACTAGTGATTTGGGTTCCAACATTCTGATCATCTTTCTTTTGACACACACCAGTTTTCCTGTATCTCTTTAACTCATGGTATTTGGAATAGAAACAATTCTTCCTGTGTGTTGTGACCAGCACAGACGACGGCAGGACCCTTGTTCCAGAGACTAGTCTTCTATTCACACCACCTAAGATTGTATTCACTTTTTTGATGATCCAGTGCCAAGGCCACAGGCTTCTTGCCAGAATTCTGATCCCAGTTTTTAGGAAATGTGGGCTTCTAGGAGCAGATCTATCTGAGGATCCTGGAATGATTGTCCCAACTGAGCCCAAAGAAGATGTGATCTGCCTTCTCTCCCTGTCTCAAAGGTGACCTGAATGTAAATGCCAGATGCCATGGCATTTCTCAGCTTCAAAAGCGAGCGGTCTTAAGTGAAGGGCAGATCTTACCCTGACATAGGAGAGGGGCCAAAATTAAAATAACAAACCTTTAAGACCTACTTTGTTCGACTTCTGAGACAAGACTCTCAGGGGACCCAGGCTGCCCTATCGGTACTAACTTACTGTCAGAAAACACTTTACAGTGGCCTCAGACAGGGGTTTTCTCTAACGCTAAGCTGAAAACCAACCCATGTGCTGTTCTTGACCTGGCTATAATACAGGACTTTGCTCCTCCCCCCAATTCCAACCTAAAATTGAGTCTCCATCTACCTCCAATTGGCCCCTACCTAGCAAACTTAGTTAATGCCACTGCCCTTTTAGAGCCTAAATAATTTGCCTGCCACTCAGTGCCCTGAGCCTAACTTTGAGTGGAGTCCCATGTACCACTCTGGGCTCATGTCAGCCCAGCAGCCAATTAAAACTTGAGATTTTTTTTCTGCTAGCCATGTCTTTCCATACCGAAACTGGGCCACTGGTTTTTAAAAATTTAATCTTGTAGTTATCCTTATTAAATGCTATCTGCTTCATTCCCACTTGCCTAGTTTTGATTCTGCCATCTTGTGCATTATTTATTACCTCTAGTTTTGTGTCATCTGAAATTTGATAAGCATGCCTTCTGTCTCCTCTAAGCAGTTGTCAAAAAGTGTTAGAATGTATATGTCAGTGAAAAGAATAACAAGAACACCAACTCCAGTAAATTATAGTTTACATACCTTCCTGCTTGAGTAATGAAGGACTGTTTTTAGGAAAATAGACTTTATTGAGCCTAATACATTTATAAATTCATTTTCCCCAAAAATATTTATTGAAAATTACCAGGGCACAACACTGTATTACATACTTCAGAGATACATAATAAGCATAAAAACACGATCCTTGACCTTGAAGAGCTTACAAACCTCCCTGGGAAAACGAGACATCCAAAATTGAAGCTATAACAAGCGCACATGAAAGGCACAGAAAACAAAGTGCTATAGGAATTGAGGGAAAGAGATTATCATTGTGGCTAATGGGTGTGGAAGAGAGCTGCTTGGTGGTGAATGGACTTGGTTTAGACCTTGAATAATTTTTAGGATGTGAATAATTGGAAGGCAAGAATAAGAATTCTAAGGAAAAGTACATGCAAAAGACAGACATACATTCCAGGGATAATCAATTCAATGAACACATATATTGGTTAAGATAACTCTAGATGTGACAACAAACAACCCCAACAAATATGTTGGTGTAAAACTGGTATAAGTTTATCTCTTGTTCACTTAAAGTCTACCACAGTTGGTCCTGATTGGTTCCTGACTATTCTCCCAGAAACATGGAGGGATGTAGCCTTCTTCCATTTTGTGGCTCCAACACTTCAAAACATGGCACCCAAACTACCATACTCACCTTCCTAAAGCTGAACGAAAGGGAAAGAACATACAGCATCATGTGTGAGAGGCTTAACGGGCCATGCCAGAAAGTGAAGCCTGTCATTCCTGCTCACTTTCCTCTGGCTGAACTCGGTTGCACAGCTACAGTAATCACAGGGAAGAGCTGGGAAATACAGCCTTCTCTGGGCCCCAAAGGAAGGTCACAGAAACAGCCAACAGGGTTCTGCCCTAGAGAACAATGGGAAAAATGGGAAATAAAGGTGTAAAGGTATTAAGCTTCCCTAACTTGAGCAATGAATAGACAAATGGGGTGGAGATTAAGTGTAGCCTCTAGAGCAAACTCTGTGGGTGGAAGCATGGCTCTGCTATTTTTTTTTTTTTAATTTATTTATTTGACAGACAGAGATCACAAGTAGACAGAGAGACAGGCGGGGGGGGGGGGGGCGCGGAAGCAGGCTCCCTGCCGAGCAGAGAGCCCGATGTGGGGCTCGATCCCCAGGACCCTGAGATCATGACCTGAGCCGAAGGCAGAGGCTTTAACCCACTGAGCCACCCAGGCACCCCTCTGCTATTTTCTTGTATGATCTTAGACCTCCTTCTTAAAAGCTCTTTGCCTAAATTTCATCCTCATCTGTAAAATGGGAAATGATGAATCCATTATCATAGGGTTACTACGAAAGTTAAGTTAGTAATACAAGGTGCTTAGAAAAGTGCCCAGAATAGTACCTAACACCTAGTTCAATAAATACTGTCCACTGACAGGTTGTGAACAGAAGTCTCTGAATATGATTTCCTATCAAAGGTCAAATCACATATCTACATTCACTGAATTATCAGAATCAGACAGGTATCCTAATGCTTTCCCACAGAACCTATGGTTTTCCTAGCTGACAGACCAAATCTCACCCACAGATGTAATCATAGAGTCAGTACATATTTGTTAAACCCTTGCTACATACTATGTACTGCACTAGGCATTGGGGAAGCAATCATGAAAGACAATGTAGAGTTTATTTATTTATTTAGAGCACATGTGCATGGGGGATGGGCAGAGGGAGAGAGGGAGAAGAATCCCAAGCAGGCTCCAGGCTCAGTGGGGAGGCCAATGTGAGGCCCGATCTCATGACCTAGATATCATGACCTCAGCCAATGGCAAGAGTCAGACACTTAACCAATCAAGTCACCCAGTTGCCCCAATAATGTAGGGTTTATTATGGTTAAATTGCTCTTTTTGCACTTCTACACATTTTAGAAACTTTATAACTAATTCCCTGTTTAAATTTCCTCCATTTGAAATACCTAGAGCTGTTTTTATTCTCCTTGGTGGACACTGATACAAAGGCAACTTTTCTTCTCCATTGATAATATTGCTGGTACTTATATTTGGTGTCAATTTTAGATAGCAATTATTTCAGGATTAAAATCAGCATTCCTGCCTTAGTCTTTCTTACTCTATTATTTAGAAGATTCAAGATTTACTTTCAGTGGGGAACAGGTGTTTGGGGATGGGGGTGGGAATCCTAAAAGAGAATGAGGGGTCAAGGGTGTCCTCATCCATCTCAGTGATAAAAATACTGTATCAAGTAAGTACTATAAGTATGCATTCTGACAATAAGTCCTGAGTGTTTCCACATAACAGTCATTAAGTTTGATGCAAAAAGGGTTTACAGTAGCAGACCCCATTGTTACAGAGTTTCCTTGACATCCAAGAGTGAATGATG